GCATTCCCCCAGCTGGAAGAGCTGCTGTGGAAGGCTGAGTGGGGAGTGGGGTGTCTCAAAATGCTGAGGAAACTTCTCTGGAAACCTCCCTCTATCTAGCCCTGGTGCAGCAGCTCTGGTTTGGGGGTGCCTGTAGCCCCCCGCAGTGGCCGCAGTGCAGGGTGAGGATCCACGCTCCTGGCTCAGCTCCCGTCCCTCCCGCAGGAAGCCGACGTTCGGGAGCACTGAGAGGAAGACGCCCGTTAAAAAACTGGTGTCCGAGTTCTCCAAAGTGAAGAGTAAAACTCCAAAGCACTCCCCGGGGAAGGAGGAGTCGGGCGGCTCCTTGGCTGAAACTGTTTGCAAACGAGAACTGCGGAGCCAAGAGACTCCGGAAAAGCCGCGGTCGCTGCTGGAGACGCCTCTCCGTGCCTCGGCCCCCCCGAAGGGCCCTGGAGCCCACCCCAAGGAGAAGGGCTTGGGCAGCGAGGCCGACGACCTGCCCTATCTCTCCACCACCGAAATGTACTTGTGCCGCTGGCACCAGCCGCCCCCGTCACCGCTGCCGCTGCGGGAGCCTTCCCCGAAAAAGGAGGAGACTGTAGCAAGTAAGGATGGAGAGGAGGATGGAGAAGCTGCTGTGGTGTGCTGGGCTGAGCTGGATGGGGGTCAGGGCTCAGCACCCTCGTCCTGAATCCAGCAAAGGGCTCCTCCCCTTCCCAAAGGAGTCCCTGTGGTGCTGGAAGAGGTGCTGCACTGCTGGCTCCTTCCACAGCTCTCCCAAATCCCATCTCCAGCTCACCCTGCTCCGGGCAGGGCTCCTGTCCTGCTCCCCTGGTGTCTGTTGGAGCCAAGGGTGAAGCAACTTCCCGTGGGTGGTTGGGAAATGTGTCCGTGGCTCGTGGCACTGACGCAGCACTGGTGTCACCTGCTGTCCCCAAATCTGGTGCCTGTCTCTTTGGACCCAGTGTGGTGGGTGCTGGGGATGGGAGCTGGGCTGTGCACAGGAGAGCTCAGCATATCCCTGAAGTGGCTCAGGTTTGCTCGGCTCGGGGGTGGCAATGAGCTCTGCCTCCCCCCAGATCCCCCAGCA